TTTGAAGCAGGAAAAATAGACGATGCTCACCCCAGAGGTTGGTTGGGTGATTTAACTTTTTTTTTGTATTTTTTTTGCCACGTCCATGGAGTTTTCTGAGCGTTAGTAGAGGGCCTTTTTGCCTACCTATTGTTAGTAATCTCGGGGGCTATGTTCGCATTAGAACGTGTGGGCGAGCTCACGGGGCTCAACCTGGGTGTTGTGGGATGGCCATCTTTAAACTAAATTTGAAAAGAGGAGTCAGCGATAGACAGCGGTTTGGCTGTGTCCCTGGTATTTTTGAGTAGCCACTCAGGATGGTGGTAGTCCAAAGTGAATCTAAAGAGATATAAAAAATGAAAAAGAAATGCATTTGCACTGATTTTTGATATTTTTGTTATTGCACTTTTCTGTTTTGACTAAAATAAGTGAAAGAACCTTTAAATTCTACTTCGCATTTACTATACCTTTGTTTTAACAAACGAATACATTAAGAGTCAATGAAAGAAAACTATTTGAAAATTAGTAGTTAGAAAAAAATTTAAGAAGTTTTGTGGCTCTTGTATGAGATTGATTAGATAAAAATATATAACGTTTTTTTCTTCTCTTCTATCAGATCTCATCTATTCAGCTCTTCTATTTATAACAAAAGTGTTAGTTTGTTAATATACTGTGGCAGAAATATAAAAATACTCTCGAATAGACGGACCGTGTAATATAAGCTGTCAAGAATTATATTAGAGTCCCTTGGTAGATCAAGGAACAATAAATCTTTTGAAATACAATATTAGAACGATTCTTGCGATAAATTTAGTCCTTGGCTTGTTTCATAGGGATTATTTTCTGTATTTCTAATGTTGTCACGGCATGGTTGATGTTGAGTCATTACTGGTGATTATTACCGTTTTAACACTGCAAAACCAACTCATCGTAATATGATGAGTTAATAAACACGCCTTTATTTTTGTAACTAACTGTTATTTTTGTAATTAATTAGGACTATATCTTTCAAAAAAAGATTAAAGTCTGGCAAAAGGAAGAGAGGCCGCCCCAGAACAACTTGGCGTCGCTCGGTGGAGCAGGAGCTAGGGGTCTTGGGCATGACGTGGGAGGAGCTAGAACAGACTGCCCAAGACCGATATAAATGAAAAAATTTGATTCGAGCCCTACACCCCAGCAGAGGGTAATAGGAAAGAATGATGATGAATGATGATATCTTTCAGAATATGAATGACAAGCTCAGCTTGAATTTCCCTATGAGATATTCGATTCTTGTCTATACATACATATAGGTAAACAGGATATTGCAATCGAATGGTTCACTTGAATCGTAGATTGAAACGGGAATTGTAATAACGCATCGCACTGTGTGTAGGCACTATCATCAGAAATTGAACCGATAGAAGGAATTTCCAATGGAATTCTGACGTGAAGCAATGAAGCGTTCCTATTTCATTGGTGAGACAGCCGTCATTCATATATTTTCATTTAAGATTAAAAAACACGCTTTGTGTCACAGTGGTATTATGGCCTGTGTATAATAAAGAAAAAAAAAGGGTGCGTGTACTTATGTACGCGCGTAAGAAGTTATACTTTATTTTTATTCAATTTATTTCTTTTTTTTTAATATGACATAATTAATAATAAATATTTAACGTTAATAATTTAATAATATTTAGCATGAATTATAGCAATTATATTAAATAATAATTTTGTCATTTATCAATATTGTCATATTATCATATTGTCATGTTATCAATATAAATACACAGTGAACAGAGGCAGCGTGCGTGCCAACATGCGCCACTAACAGAGGTTCCATTTCTGTTTTGTTGGTAGCATTTTTTCTTTAGTGGGCAACTTCATTTCTGTTAATTTTGTGTCACGATGCGCGCGCATCGTGAAATTTCACTCTCATCAATTTTTCATAACGCGCCTAAAGAAGTATAACTTCAAAAATCGTCATGGTAAAACGTACAGTAGTACACTGCATCTACTACTACTACTCCTAAGTTCAAATCCCGCAGGCAAGTATTTTCGGAAATACGAAAGACGTGGTCCTGTGTGACCAAGCGGTGAACTGAATTACCATCTAATGTAATATAGGCAAGGAAAATTCAGTGATTTTTTGTGGGGTCCTCGCGTTCCCTTCCGGGGTCACGGATCGGACCTCGCCAAAATTCCTAATACGACTACAGTAATGTAACATAATAAAGACTAATTACTATCAATAAATGTGGTCTTATTATTATTATTACTATATGATTAAATCCTTATCATAATATAGCCAAAATGGCATCATAGAAAAGCTCCTAAATGTTAAATGTACAGCTTTTATTTAAAATTACTTTTACAATTTAAACCCCGTATTTATTATTGTCAGTATATGATTTTTTAATACTTCAATTTACTCAAGTAAAGGTCTAAAAGAATATATAATTATACCAATTAAAATATCGAACATCGTTTATTCCAATAAGGTTACTTGTTTATTGAAAAAATTTGAATGCCCAGTAAATTGGTAGAGAAGGCTATAAGACCGTACATAAATAGATGTAGGTAATTTACGAGTACATAATAATTTGACATGAGTCCTCACGTTATTTATCTTGCCTCTCGCAATCTTCTAGCCTGTATTATCCGTCCGGATTTCTTCTCCATTGTGTTCTAGATATATAAACGATGTCACTTGACCCTTTGAATTATATTCAATGCTTCATATACTCCGAAATGTCATTTTATTTAATACGGAAGATCTTTCATTTTCAATGTGAATGGAAATTTCGATTTTCGGTAAACATTCAGAGATCAATGGCTTATGTAGAATTTTTTTGGTTTTTTTTTTCATTAAAATTTTGTTTTCATGTTTGATGATCAAGATAAAAAATATTAGAAGTAAGTTAATAGTATAAGTTAATTAGTAAAGTGTGAACGTTACTTAAGAAACTTGTCCTCGAGAAAATGTCTTAAAATAAACACTTTAAAATCTGATAAACTCATTTTATAAAAAAATCGCATGTCATAAACATTACTCAAATTATTTCAAAACATTATATAAATATTGTTGTTGTATTTAGTTAGACTGATATAATTTTAATGTTTATTTACTCATTAACTATTCCGCACTCAGTTCTCTCGTAAACTTGACAATGATGCAAAGCGGATTTTAGCTTGTGCCCGTACACGGATTGTGAACCAGGATTATATTCCCTTTGCTTGTTCAGTGGGAACAATCTGGCTTTGGAATGAACGTGAGCTTCAATTTGAAATAACATAATTTAAGTTATTGAAGCTACGTCAAGCGCTTTGTAAAAGTTCATTTAGAAAGATCTAGAAAATCCCGGCCACGGTTCGCCGTCACTATGAATAAATGAATGAATATATCATTATTCATAAATTCTGTTCGCTCAAATGATCCAGAAAACATTCTGCGACGGAATAAAATAACATATACTAAGTTATATTATGAAAAAGAATGGAATCTGTAAAAAAATCTATACTAACACTTATCACAATTAGTCAAACAAAATATTTTACGTTTTTCATCACTTTTAATTAGACACACAAAGAAAAATATACCATTAGATACTTATTAAAATACGGTGAAACTCGGTCAGGGTTGTGACTGACTAAATGTAATACACCCATTTGTAGAAAATAAAGACATGCTATCAGCCTTAGGTTAATGACACTATTGCAGAAACATCATCACCGTCCGGTGTATTATTAAGGAGGGTACAAGAGACAAGCATACAAAGTAATATTCATTGTTATGTATTTAAACTATTTTATTATAAACAAAATACCGTCAGACAAATGAAAAGAGATAAACCACATTTGATTACTTTAAACTTTGATTGTATCATTATTGTATTGAATGTTACATCGTCTTTAAGTATTAAGAAACAAACAATTTTGAACGTCTATGTTAGTGTAACCTTATCTCATAAGTACCTAACATTGTAAATACGGTAGAAACAAAAAAACAAGAATATTTGCAATTGTAAATTTAATTCAAATATCGTGTTCTGGAAGTAGATACTCGCATTATAGATTTCAAGTTGAATATTAATTACCACGGCTTCTATAGGTACTTCGAAATTTAACATATTTATATTCAATACATCAATAAACGAATATAATGCAATTGGGACAGTTGAGAAATGGCGATGATATTAAATCCTGCGTCATGCGTAGCCGCTGGAAATTTACACGATTATCACGCCATTACTGATATGCAGTCTGTATGCTTAGTTTTTTATAACAACTATATCAGAATTAATTGCATAGGTGTAATAAATTACGCGTTCATAAATGGAGCGTCAAACGCAAGTCGATTTATGGAACATTCCATAGTAAATTCATTGCCCGACTACATTCGCTGTCAAATAATACCATGGTGCCTACACAAATTATACGTTTTTATGTTTTTTATGTGTACATAAATAATCACTTTGATCCCGACTCGCATTATAGACAAGAACTGGTGGTAGGACCTCTTGTGAGTCCGCACGGGTAGGTACCACCGCCCCGCCTATTTCTGCTACTGAGACCTTAGAACTTCTATTTCAAGGTGTGTGGCGCATTTACGTTGTAGATGTCTATGGGTTCCAGTAACCACTTAACACCGGGTGGGCTGTGAGCTCGTCCACACATCTAGGCAATAAAAAAAAATTGAAATGTCGTATCGTAATCAAACTTGTTTCTGTAATACACGATTTCCAAAAAATCTACAAGAATTTTTTAAGTTAACTAAATTCCAAAATGGTTATTTTCTGTGACACGATATTATAAGTAAAAACAATTAAAACGTCCTTTCCGAAGTGCAATCAAATTAAGAAAATGAAACACAGTTAATCCGCGATATGCTACAAACGTTTTCTTTTGAAAATAAAACGGGTGCCTTTTATTAATATAATTGAAAACGAGTTCTTCTTATTCGCGGTTTTTATATTAATATCCTTCTAACATAAACCTCGTTAATTTTTCATATATTAAGTAAATGCTTTGTTGCAGGAAATACGGAATTTCGAAGCGACTCACTTGACGACGGTGATCAGAATTATGACCCGGAACACGTTTCTGACTGAAATACGACTTGAAACATGACGATTGAAGCCGCCCCGAACATAACGCAAACCCTAACTAGCCTTTTCGAGGAAATGCTTCTGGAAACGGAAGCTTCAAGCCACAATGAAAGTAATCTCGACCTGTCACATTTCCTGTCGGCCTTACGAGTGCAATCGAACAGCAGCAACCATGAGCCCCTGGACTTCGGCACCTTGATTAGGCTGGTCGATGGATTTCGGAATAAACTAAATTTAAGCCGGCCCATTGAGCCAGCGTGTACGTATTGCGATGGGAACATCAGGGATGTTATCTTGGCCTATAATAGTATACACGGATACATCAGTCTTATCGTAAGTTTTTAATGACATTGTCAATGCTAATAATGTGTTAGTTACAATGTATGTTTAATGTGTATATATAAAGCTGTGGCAATTCCCAGTAGAATTAAGAGCAAGTACCTCTGGAATTTAGGTTATCAGTGATTTTTACAAAAATTTATAACCTAATATTGAACAAAAAAAAAACGGCTTCATAAAACAAAATCAAATCAATTTAGTCGAAGCGTTTTTTTGCCTGAAGGAAAAGTACCTTTTTAAAATCGCTTAACAAACGGGAATAGACAATAAATGCAAAGAGACGGTGTATTCGCCGAAGGATCAGTGTGCTTAGTGCGAGTTTTTTAACGTTCTCGATAGCGTAAAAGTTAACTTAAATTTGTATGGAGCTGGAACGTTTGCCTACGTTTGCCGCTAGGGGCGCTGTTCCAACTACATACAAATTTGAGTTAACTTTTACGCTATCGAGAACGTTAAAAAACTCGCACTAAGCACACTGGACACGAGTAGCAATTTCACGTTTAATGCACTCACTGCTTGAACATTCGCAGGCAACTTTTGATTCCGAGCGAATGCTCACTGCGAGGACAAATCAATCCATGAAATTGTAAATATATATAAAACTAGTGATCCCCTCCGGCTCCGCTCGGATCTTTAACAAAAATTACACCGGCCGACAAATGAAAATTTTTTGAAAGTTGTTTGTATTTGAGCCACAAATATCACCAATTTATACTATTTTAAACACAAAAACACCTACATCTTTGCCCTATCACATCAGATTTTTTTAAAAGAAGGAAAAAGCATTTTTTTTTCATAATTTAAAGAAAAAATCAATAATCATATTACAAAAAACATATATTTGAACATTTACAAAGAAAACATTGAGTCTAAACAATGCTACAGGACTATTTAGAGTGACATCTTTTACGTTTCGCGACAAAATTACGTCTGGGTGTAGTTTTTTTGTGAGTATCTTCAGTAATATCACGTGTCAGTGACCAGCAGTAATCAGCCATCATATTCACATTCCATCGACCTTGGTACCTTGTCTCCATAGTTTTTATGTCCTGATGAAACCTTTCTCCCTGCTCTTCACTGTAATCACCAAGATTATCAGGAAAAAAGTCCACATGTGGATCTAGAAAGTGGAGTTTTATGCTCATATTACACCCAAATTTTTGATACTTATCCAATTAGTTTGCAACCTTATTTTTATAGTCGGGATGTTTATTATTTCCTAGAAAATTGTTGACAACATCTTTGAACGCCAGCCAAGCATCTGATTCAGTGTTATTCAATGTGGCATCAAATTTTTCATCAGCCATCAAAGATCTGATTTGCGGTCCATCGAACACTCCTTCTTTAATTTTTGCATCAGATAATCTTGGAATTTTTTTACACAGGTATTCAAAACTAGCATTGTTTTTATCCAATGCTTTAACGAACTGTTTCATCATACCGAGTTTGATATGAAGCGGAGGTAGTAAAATTTTTTCAGNACCTCGTTCGTGCTGCGATAGACGACTGGCCGCGCAGATTGAAGGCCTGTATTCAAAATCACGGAGGTCATTTTGAATAAACTTTAGTGTCATAAGAATCTATGCTTTGTTAAGTTCATTTTGGTATATGAATGGTTACATAATGAATAAACTTGTTTCAATTATTTTACATTAAACATGTGACAGAATTTATGACCTGACTAGGTAATAATGTATTCTATAAAATCGTAGTACATTATTTTATTCTATCATCAATAATTTTCGCAGGGCACGCCATGTAAAGAATATTTTAGATAATTTTTCTACACCTTGGGTTACATTATTGGAGTTTTAGTAACGATCCCAATTTTTTTGCAAAAAAGATTATAGCCTATGTCACTCGGGAATAGTGTAGCTTCCAAATAGTGAAAGAATTTTTCAAATCGGTTCAGTAGTTTCGGATCCTATTCAATATAAACAAACAAACAAATCTTTCCTCTTTATAATATTAGTATAGACAACAAGAAGATAACGTAATAACTACCGCGTCTTTAATCGTTTAGCTCGTTCGTTTATCGAAAAACAAATTAAAAAAGGCGCCATCCAAAACGATCAAATAATACTTGGAATTTGATATCATTTTTATGGAAACTAGAGTAAATATTAATTAGCTGATGTTATATTAATGACTTGTCTGGTTCTATCTTGACAGTAAATCATAAATCAAGGTGATGCGCTGTTGAACATTCAGATAACGCAATGTCTACTGTGGGTGAATAAAAAATACATTACTCTATTTAATCAATAACGCAGCTTAGAAGAAGTCCGGCAAAAACCTAAATCGCGGTAACAACATTTTCAAGATAAGTTAGCTTAATATCAGTTCTAAAAAACAGTCGGTCTACCGATAAGACAGGCTTGATCGAAAATCTTCTTTTTCTCTTCTCCTATTAGTAATTGATGTACTATTTATTACCAAGAAGACCTCAGTAAAACAAACAACGACCTTGAAATTACTTGCTCTTATATACACGTACCTAATATATGTACAGAACCAGACATTATATCTATTCTATACTAATATATAAATCTACAGGGGTTTTTACGGATGTTCCGTTATAACTACTGAACCGTGCATCCGATTGACTTGAAACTTGGTATCTATATAGAAAATACATGTACTTAATGGATAGGATAATAATGTTTATATGAGTGTTACTCCCTACACCAGTTGCGGGGGCGTTAATGATGAGAATCTTTGTGGGGGTGAGAAATAATAATGTTAATTTTAAATGCCCAGCGAAGCGGACCGGTACAGCTAGTATTATATAAATGCCAACTTTTCTATAATGAAAGTACTACGAGCTGTTCGAAAAATTAGGTTAACTGAGCTGTGATGAGTACCGACAATACGTTATATATGTAATCTATTCCCTTGATCGATTTTGTATATCGATAATTGGCGTGTAACTGCTATGAGTTCCAGTATCGAATAACAGCGATTAAGGGACGTTCCACTCATTATAATCGTTTTTTGATGAACGAAATCATGGGTTTTTTTTTTTAAACGGCTTCGTATGCGTAGAGTTTTTATCCTTTAATTTTTATTATTGCTTACCCAGCAAGTTTTCATGATTCATGAAATTTATCATTAATAAAGATCCGAGTACTTTCTAAATTAATAAGACTATAAAAATAATATGAAATACCTAGTCTTTTAATCTAATTATTAAAAACCATTAAGAACTTTACAAAGAAACAATTTCATTAGTATAAAATTTATTGCATGAAGTGCTCTTTGAAGTTGCGTACCGCAAACGTTTGCCATTTCTAATTAAAATTTGATTCAATGAGTCTTGTATAAATTCAATCTTAATACATTTTAGCTTCTGTTTTTTTTTTTTGGGATGGCACGTCTTTGTATTGACCTTTGAAACGGCGGTGCATGATTCTTTGGCGGCAGAAATAGGCCGGATTCTTGCACCTACTCTTGCGAGGTCATAACAGAGTCATTTGGGCATTGTCATTATGATCTAAAAATACATTATTAGATTCTTGAAAATTAAAATTTATTAGCCAATAATCGAAAAACAAACCACCTTTATTCAATTCACCAACGCTTTTTTCAATTTTTTCAAAGAGCACTAATACTCCTACATGTATATAAGGTTCAGTATATAATGTGTACAGATAAAACAAGACATACATAAACATATAAGGTAACAGATGTTTCTTTTCACAAGGTATGCTTCTTCGGGAGCTTAGCCAACACATTAAATGTGGCAGTCCTGACGAGAAGGGATCTGGCTGCGGCGCCTATCAACCGTCTTCTGAAGTGGCTAGCTGTAGCCGATGTCTTCGTCATGCTGGAGTATGTGCCGTTCGCCATATATAGATATTTGGTGAGTCTGCGATTTACGCTTTTATCAAATGAAAAATGGAATGGTTTTTTTTTAATTGGTCTTTGCCTATATCCAATTAAGTTCAAAGTGGACTTTTTGGCGGGAACGCGAGGTATCAAGTTGTGCGATTTGTTTTATTTTGTCTATTAAGTGTTTCTTCAGGCTTAAATGTGTAATAACGGTGGTTTATTAACTGTTTAATATCTGTGAAAGTGCACAAATGTGGGAAAATGAAACAAAGCCGTTGGATGTAACTTCTCGGGATCCTTCAAAAAGTCCACTGAAAAAATCTCAGTAAACGACCATAATTTTACTGAGATAATATTTCATCCCATATCATCTCATCTCATTTCATTTAATTTCATCCCAGTTGATTAATACCTCAAATTCTTCATTTCATTTCACTCCATATTATCATCTTTCTTTATATATAAAAATGAATTGCTGTTCGTTAGTCTCGCTAAAACTAGAGAACGGCTGGACCGATTTGGCTAATTTTGGTCTTGAATTATTTGTGAAAGTCCAGAGAAGGTTTCAAAGGTAAATAAATATGAAAATACTCGGGATTTTAAACAAAATTATCATTTTTTTTCCCTTTGATGTGTCTGTCCTCCGTCGGACGGATTCTTTTTGTTTATTTTAAGTTTATTTTATACAAAAGTTTAGGTCTTTTATTTCTCGATTGAGGCACTACGAAGTCTGCCGAGTCAGTTAGTTTTTCATAAAAATATCCCATATCATTTCATTTCATTTCATGCCATGCTATGCCATGTTTCATATTAAATTAATCAGCTTCATTTCATTTCATAATATCATATTGCATAAAAAAATATATACCTAGTCAGGTCATAAGTATTGTCACACAGTAAAAACTTTTCTTTTAGAATGCTGGCCACAAAAAAGTTTATTGAATTCGAATTTGGAATTGTTCATGAAAATAAAAATGTATACTTTTAGAATTTTACTCATTTTTAAATATGGAGTGGACGCTTAAAGAAGACCGTGTTGCAGTTATTGCGTTGCATCGTTGCGGTTACGCGCCAATTCAAATTTTTAACATACTGAAAAATTTGAATATAACCAAAAGATTCGTTTATCGTACCATCAAACGATACAATGAAGACTCTAGTGTAGATGACAGGTCAAGAAGTGGTCGCCCTCGGTC